CACGCTCACACTGAAGCCGGACCCTGCTCCTGTCCTGGCTTCTGGCTCTGCAGAACAAGCCGAAGTTACGGATGTATCCTTCGTGGATGATGCTACGACGCCCTGCGCGGTGGACAGCTGCGACGACCTAGAAGACGCCATCAGGGGCATAGTCAGCATCCTGTTCAAGCACATCTGCATCTTTGGTTTCACTCTTAACCTGGCCAAGACCAAGATATTGATAGGCTTCTTTGGCCCGCGTGCCAGAAAAGCAAGGGCCCGCCTGCTTACCAGTCACCCGGCTTATCTTTGGCACGATGGCCTGGACCATCAGCTGCAGATTGTGGAGACGGCGGTCAACCTGGGCACGGTGGTGGATGCTAAAGGATGCGAGGGACCCAACATGGCCCGCAGGTGCAAGGGGCACTCGGCAGCAGCGGGCCCTCTGAGGATCACGGTCAACCAAATCCAGGATGTGGACAGACAGGTTAAGATCACGCTCACCAGCGCCCTCTGCGATAGTACTCTCACTTTCAATGCAGAAATATGGGGTGCGCTGGGTACCAGGCTGGACTCGCAAGTCGCTGCCAAGTATGTCAACGCCTACCGTGCCGCGGTGGGCAAGCAGCACATACCTGATGGACCTCGATGGCGAGATGAGGAGGTTCTCTTAGATGCAGACAAGTCCTCCTGGCAGATCATCCTCCGCACAAGGCGCCTGCGGCATCTTATGCGACTCTTGTTCTTTGGTGACCAGCAGCTACTGCGCCTCGTTGACCTACTCTGGGAGGAGAAAGGCAGCTGGAATGTCTTGATTTGGGAAGATCTGATCTGGCTTGGTGAGTTTGTCTCTACTGACGAGATTCCACTGGAGCAGCGTCAGGACATACGCACCTGGACTGACGCCTTCAGAGCTTGGGAGTATGCTAAGGCCATGAACCTGATCAAGAGAGTGGAACGCAGAGCACATGCATCCCAGATGGAGTATTTCAGGCATGGCGTTTGGCAGAGACAACTCAGATCTTTGGCTCAGGAGGCGGGGCTGCCACCTCCGCCCTTCGTGGAGGCGGATCGACCCGAACGAGGACAAGGTTTCATCTGCTATGACTGTGGCAAAATCCTGGCAACACGGGGCATGTGGAAGAGGCACCGCACAGTCGAGCATGCACAGCGTGATGATGACCGATATATTAGAGGGACGCTTTGCTCGAACTGTGGCAAGGACTTCCACACACGTGCTGGACTTATTCGACATCTCAAGTACAGAAGCCTCAGATGTATGGAGCATTGTCGTGCCACAGTTGTTCCATTAAATGACGAAGAGTTGGCAGCAGCTGATGTCGAGATGGCAGAAGATACCAGAAAGCTCAAAAGCTGTGGATTCAGGGCGGCCAAGGCCATGATGCCGCCGAAGGACCCAGACCCATATTGGATTACGACGATCCCGACCTGGGCCCGCCCTCTCGAGCCAGCCTGCCCGCCAGCAGCACCAGCTGACGAAGACTGCCTTGGTCACCAGCAGACAGTGTACCCCTCGACAGTGGACAGACCGACTACGTGGCACTGTAACCTGGTACTCCACCTCTTCAGTGGCCACAGGAGACCCAATGACATCCAGGATCACCTGGAGAAGCTAGCAGCAGAATATTCAGTCCCCTTGATGGTGCTCTCCCTGGACGTGCAGAACAATGCGGACAGAGGGGACATGTCCAAGAATGACAACCTTCTGTTCTGGAAGGCAGCCATGCTGGCAGGGCATGTGTGCGCGGTGGTAGGAGGACCGCCCTGCGAGACCTGGTGCCCGGCCAGATGGCTGGATGATGGCAAGGGGGGCAGACAGCCGAGACCCCTCAGGACGAGGAGCAGGCCTTGGGGCATCGGCAGCGTGACCCAGAAGGAGAGGCAGCAGATCGACCTGGGCAACGCGCTGCTCCGCTCCTGCCTCCTGCTGCTCCTGATCGGCCGCCCGCTGGGCATCACAGGGCTGATGGAGCATCCAGCCCCAGCACCCTGGAGGCCACAGAGCATCTCCTCCTGGGAGACACCCGAGATCTCCTGGGCGCTCGAGCTCCCGGGGGTGGACTACGTGCAGGTGGACCAGTGCGCGTACGGCGCGCGGTCGAGGAAGCCGACGGGGCTCCTGGCGGTGAACGCCCCCGAGCTCCGCCTCGCAGTGGACGCGGACCCCCAGGGCGGCCGCTGCCGGCATGAGGGGGGCCACCCAGCGGCAGCGGGCCGTGACGAGAACGGCCGCTGGCGCACCGCTGAGCTGAAAAGCTATCCGCCGGCCTTTTCGCTTTTGCTCGCCAAAGTGCTCTTGGGGCACCAGGTGTCGAGGCTCAGCCGGGCCTGGGATCCCTGGGGAAATGACCTGGTGACCTCGGCTTTCCAGGATTTCTTTGTCCCACTCGACCCATACTTCAATTTCCAGGCGGGTCATGACTGTTACCGTCATGTCTAGTGCTCGCTGTCCTCCGTCGACACGACGTCGACGCTGACCTAGAGTCGCCAGCAGTGCACGCCCACTCCCTCCTCCTCGGCCCAGGTATTCTACTATCCTCGCCCCTTCCTCCTCGACCTCGAATCGAGTGGGATGAGTCGGTGCCCGAGCACGTCGGGCCACGTCGACAACTTCGTGGCCCTGGCCGAGCTGGAGGTCTTGTACGGTGTAGGCCTTTGCAAAATCCCAGGCAAAATCCCAGGAGGAGGAGGAGGGAGGAGGAGGAGGAGGAGGAGGAGGAGGAGGAGGAAGGGGAGTGCCGAGGGAGGCCCCGGGAGAGCTCCGACGACCGCTTCGAGTCGAGCAAGGCTCCCCCCTCCTTTCCCTCCTTGAGGCCCTGAAGCCGTGGGCAGGTCCGTCCGCACGGGGGGCTGGAGCCCCGGCCTCGGCGGAGGAGGAGGAGGAGGAGGAGGAGGAGGAGGTGGAGGAGGAGGAGGAGGGGGGCCATGGGCCATGGGGGGTAACCCACATGACGGGTGTGAGGAAAACAGGGCGCCGGCGCCGGCGTCGGAGAGCTTCTGCATCGCCTTCAAGGGGGGGGGAGGATGAGGAGGAGGAGGAGGAGGAGGAGGAGGAGGAGGAGGAGCAGGAGGAGGACGAGGAGGAGGAGGAGGAGGAGGAGGAGGAGGAGGTGGAGGAGGAGGAGGAGGAGGAGGAGGTGGAGGTGGTGGTGGAGGTGGTGGTGGAGGAGGCGGAGGAGGAGGGTGTCGGGGTGGAGCCGGGGGGAGCTCGGGGGGGGAGGGGGGGAGGGTCTGGCTCCGGACCTCTGCTTCACGCGGCGGTTTGCAGCAGTGCGTTATGGGAGGGAGGGACTCCACCTGCTCGAGACAGGCGCCAAAAGCAGCCAAGATCTACTCCTTCGGAGGGGGGGGTGGAATGG